CGGGTAATTGAGGGGGTTCAGGTGACACTACTTAGATATTCCGTCTTCGATTCCGTAGGTACCCAATCCTGTAGCAGTACGAAGTTTGCAAGAAGATACAGGCGGTGACATGAAGGCAGGATATTCTCCATGTCACCGCTTGTACCTCCTTACCTTGATCGATGTAACCGTTAGCGTTCATAGCGTTCACTTTCAGTCCGGGGTCCACGAAGAAAATATCGGTCTTCACATTCCAGGAACTTCCGGTCCATACCACCAACCCGCGCCTTGGCGACTGCGGTGAAAATGATATCCTGGGCCCTCGATGTTGAGGTCTCCCAGATCGAGAGCACTGGTTAGCTATCCATGGGTGACTCCATACAAGAAGTTTCGCAGCTGTTTGGAGGTGACGTGAATTCCAAAGGCCTTCTCCAGTCAGGCTGCGACTGGAGATGACTTCATATTTTGGTGTACATGAAGGTGATGGGCGAGAGCCAGCTCCTGCTTATCGAGGAACATCTTGGGTATCTTCCGCCCTGGTACTCGTATCCACGTCCTCTGTCTGGGCTGCGAAAACTTTGCTGATATGTGACTCTGCCGACTTAGAAGAGCTACCACGTGGTCTCCACGAGCTTCGGCTGATGTCCGTACGTGGAATCACACGTCTCCATCTGATGACTCGACCCGTCGATGGGAAGTAGCAAAAGTGCAAAATAACCCTCCCTCTTGCCAGAGTGCCCGTCAATAGTTGAAAAACATTATGTTTGAAAAGCCTCTTGTCACCACGTTTTTTCTATTTGCTATTCCACCGCCACATTACTCACGCTCTTAACACGGTTGACGACGAGCCGTTTTTTTCATGAATTGCCCGTGGGACGGCACGTTTTTCTTCGTAGAAACTTAGTAATTTTTGATAAATGAATGGCTACGGTCAAAGTGTTTAAGAAATGCAAGATACGAGTATACGAATCTTTGACACAATTTAGCTTTTATTGCTCCAATCTTCCAAAACCAGGCCATTTTTTACCAACTTCTTCCTCTGGAGGCAGATTTGGCTGAAAATTTGTCTGCCGGGGTAGTTTGACCTCCTAAAGATCATTATTGCATCCCCTTGGCCCAGAATGTTTGTTCTTGAACTAATTTTATGAAAAGAAAGGAAAACAGTTGCGCGCAGAAATTTGAGTTATATAATAACTGTCGGACAGTATTGGGTGACGCCGTCCCACGAGACAAAGTGGCTTTCGTACACCATTGACGGAAATCGTCATCGTCAACGCATCAAGTGATATGATATTCATATTTACGGTGTAAGTGTGGTGCGAACTTCCCCTAGGGACAACTTTTCAGGAAATTTGGTGGTCTAGGACATTTTGGCGCCGGCGCCTGTGGCGCGAGGGCGCCAGGTAGTTTCGTGCCAAGCAGCTGTGGTATTCATTTCAGAGGGACAAGCTACCCCCCCCCCAGGGACACCTTTACGACAAACTTGGCTGTTCGTCCATCTTTATTCTTAGAAAATATAATCGACCCACGGAAAGCATTCCTAAGAAAAATAAAAATATGAAAGAACTTTGCATCAGTTCATTTTGCAAGTGCTCAACTGTGGCCCTGAATGAACGCTTTAAACAAAAGGAAGCCAGGAAACCTCGAAATATAGAATAGTGAATGAGATCAATTGAAGAACGGTGAAACCGTATGAATAGTTTATGGAAGGCATTGATGCAGCAGCATCAAGGGCGCTAACAGTTAATATGTAATAGCGGAGGCAGCGAAGATCAAATCGGAAATTGCTCCGGCAGTAGGTCTTCAAAATATGTTCTGTTTGTTTGAACAAAGCTCTTGGCCCCTAGCCAAGATATGTAGCATTGAGATCGGTGATTTTATGGCTTTTTTGGCATGCCAAAGGTGCAACTGAAGTACTGCTTTAGAAAACTGATTGTCATGCATAGCAACTTGCCGCAGCTGTAGAAAACTAAGGCAGAAATATTCATTTGGCCATTTGGTGTATCCCATTTGGCAGCTAGACAAGTTACTCATCGAGAAATGCTGAGCAAGGGAGCAGAAAGAGGCAGTATTGAAGGCTCGTCAGGGTTGTCTTGTCCAATGCGCACCTGAATGATCCCGTGCGGAACATGCGCTTCGATCGAAACGATAACTTGCATCAGGGTACAGCACCGTGATGTAAAAGAAATGGCGGTGTCAGTAGACCCCGCCTAAAAGGGTTCGAGCGCAACCCCTCCCCTCCACTTTCCAGCTCTGAATGCTCTGATGAGAAGGATTAGTTAGGTAACGACTCCCGCAAGCGCTTGCCGCGTTATGATTCCATGGCAAATTAGCGGTGGAGCAGATCTGTTGGCCGGGTGGAAATCGCAGGGCTTCTCCTGTGGATGATAGCTTTTTCAGGTAGGGCCATTGAGAAGCGGAAGGCGGCATGTTGAAGCAATGTCTCTGCTGTTGTGGCTTCTGCGTACCCGCATCTGAATATTCTCCTCGTCGTGAAATATTTCGGATGGGTTACGGACGCGTTAGTGGTGAGTCGCGAGCGGGTTTTTATGTTTCGGACGAAAATAACTTCTTTCAAACGCGATCTTCTGAAAAAATGAAAATGCTGTCGGAACGCCCGATATTTCCTTTTTCAAAAAGCTCTACAGTTTTCCTAAAGATCCGCTAGTTTAGAAGTTGATAGGTCACCTTTGGAGGACTCCTTCTGCGCCATTGTAAAGATGCTCATTCATGAAATTCAATATGCCTTCGAAACACATATTCCCGACACAAAACATTGGACTGAGTCGACGCACTACTTGATTATCACCGATCGATTTGGTCCGAGTGTGCGCCGTGCATTACGCTCCTACGCAGAGGTGGTGGAAAGGTGTAACTTCTGATTTTAGGTGATTTTGCCCATGCAAGCAGATGTTTGTTGAGGGTTTGAGAAGGTCGATACGCACGAATGTTTGAGATGTACTAGTAATCTACGCACTTACGAGTTCATGCTAACTATTGATATTGCTAATCAATTGTTTTAATATTTTGTAGTCTTCCTTACATCCGGGTCCTCTGCAGCTTTCCGTCCGCTCCATCAAACTTAGCGATGACACTTTTGTGCTGTTTGGTGCTCATTAGATCAAGACGAGCTGGCAGAAGGCGCCTAGCACCTATGCGTTTAGAAGTAAGCTAAAAAAGGTCGATCTTATGAATTTGTTAGGACTGCAGGATTTTTGGATGGTTCCAGTCTGGAGGTGGTTTCTTACTCATTGTGAATATTTTGGTGTTGCTGTTCTATTTGTATTGTCGTTTTTGTTTTCGTTTTTGGATTCATATGTTCCTCTGCCATGACAATCGAGCTGTTGGCACTTGTGGGGGGGGGGTATGGGGGGGGGGTGTTGTAACCTACCTCGTTTTTCATTGACTATGTAAGCGGCTGGCCGACAGCTCATGCGTGCGACTATAAATAAAGAAATGAAATTTAGAACGCTTGCAGCCCAAACAGCACAATAGGTTTTTGACATCTTCGCGTCGCCCTCAGGGCGACCAAGTAGCCACCGTCACGTGCGAGCTGGCGCTCTGCACAACGACTGCGTGTAGCCCTGCTTGCCTATGTGAACGCTGTTTTTCTCATTAGATTTTTCCCGCGAAGCACCCAGCCCTCACTCTCGCCCAATACTACTGGACCAGAGATTCCGAAAGTACGGATGATTCGGAATAAGATACCGCACCGTGACAGAGCCGGACAAAAATTCACATGTGAGTAGTTTTCACAATGTACACGTGCAAATGGGAGGAGGTCAAAGTGGAAAATAGCGGGTTTTCTAGAATATGGTGGTAGGCCGGTAGTTTGACGTACGGCGGTCTCGTGGAAGAACATTGCCGCGCCCGGATGTCCGGAATTATCCCTGGAGCGAGAGGTCCTTCATTGGCGGATTGTATCGAGCACGGGCGAACGGCTGGTGAACTAGGCTCTCCGGATTGCCTACGGGGGTAAAACCGAAGTGAGATGCTAGAAAGTGAGGAGTGCAAAAGTTCGGTAAAGTATGAGTGCCGCGAAAAAACTGAACACTGTGCTCGTCAAAAATACTAGGCTTAATTGAGTCATTTGCAAGGCTCTTGGTGATGACGTCTCCACCTCCAACCCGCTGTCTCTCTGAGTCCCCGTGGATGAGAGCAGGAATAAATGATCCGTAAATTACACCATGCTTCCACGAATGAACATGGTACGCTTCGTGAACACACAACGACATTAGTCATATGGAGTGGAGTCTAAGTGACCGCATAATACACTAGCTCACTATCCGCCTTCAAAGGAAAAAATGGAGTGTGAAGGGCGTGATTGTAAAGCCGCCAGCCAGACAGTCTTTTGTTTACCGACTTGCTACGAGCAATGCAAGGATGGCCAACAAATTGGAAAAGTGGCTTGGTCGAGTGGCTGTCGAGTCTTGCCACGGCTTGTAGTCCTCTTTGCTAGGATAATGACTGACACGTAGACTCATCGGAGAGATGAGGAGAGCCAGGCTGAAAACCTAAGTTTGCAACCATTTTATTGTCCACTAGAAGACAGTTTGACAGTTGTTGAGATATCCCACGCAGAGCGGATCTCACACCATAACCAAATAAAGTATGCGAACACGCCCTGACTATCTTGAAGATATGGAGTGCATTCCATGTGGAACCACAAAGAGACTAGGGAGGAAAGGAGGATAAGTAACTTTTGGTTGAGGTAAATATTATTCCGAATACGACAGGAGGACTGTTTGAGCATTGTCCTTCAGCTGTTAATACAGAGTTCACTGTAGATGACATGGCCTGCAAATAGGGTGGGATTGGCGCACCGCTGCCTCTTTCTCCACCGATTGTTGAAAGGGATAAGCGTCAACACGTGTTGGAAAACTATTTATACCGAAATGGTACATTATCGTCGCTTGTTCGCTGCAAAATCTGATGGAAAACGGGTTTGGTCCCGTGCCGAGTCCATCCCTCCTGACACACCCCCTCATCAGCAGCGAACTAGACTGCATGGAAAAGTGTACCTTAATACCGGCCATTCCCGTAAAATGACATGGGATCCTGATGGAACCACCAACGTCGCCTCCAATTCCGATAATAGAGCCGTCTGCGGCCAGAAGCGCCGCTTCACCGCCTGAGGAACCACCGGAGGTTCGCGTTTTGTCCATAGGTGTATTCGTTGCACCTGAAGGGAGGATTTATAGAAGTGTAGATTAGATTTAGTTGGCAACCTGCCAAGAGTGCAATGAAGTGAAAAGCCTTCGTGGTAGAATGGGTTACCGTAGATAGGATTGCTGCAGCTATAGGATAGTAACGACTGCGGGACATTGGTCTGAACGTACGGAATGAAACCTGCAACGCAAAAAAGTCACGTTTGACGATATGTCGTAGCAAGCAGTCGCGGCGTTGTCAGGAGGAACGCAATGAGCCCTCATCCTGCTCAATGTGAGCAATACAAACCCAGTTGCTTAATTTGTTGAATGAGCACCGGATCGGATTTCGATGGCTTCCCAACGTCCTGTACGTAGCCGCGAGTTGCGTCGTACCCTTCCAGCTGGAAAACAATAATTTAATTGTGGGAAAGGTAAACTTCACTCTAGGCACATTCCACGGCGATCGCATTAGCGAAGTCGGGTGCATTACTGTACTTTCTTCATTAGCACACCCCCCCCCTTTCGAGCTAGTGAATGGTGGTGACATCTTGAACTTTTCTGCATGGTCCTGTTACGAAACCCTGTGACGCAGACGGATAGAGGGCAGCGGCTGCCAAAGCATCGAAACGTGCAAAAAACGTATGGCGAGCCAGGAAACGGGATTTTTCAAGGGGAGGGGACTCCGGGGTGGGTGAGCTACTTATAGTCGGTGAAAAGCTGGAGTGAGCGAAGTCACAACGGCCATAGAGTGCCATGCGGACGAGAGAGTGCAGAGAAAAAGAGAAGATCGACGCGTTCAAAGGGATTGAGTTCAAGTTGTCCGTAGACCGCCAATGAATAGGAGCTGGTCAGTCGCAT